ATCCAGCTGACACATTAGTATTCATGTGAGATTGTGTTTTCACTTCCTTTCTAGCTTAAACATCTGAAAATATAAATATAACTGGCCGTATAGTTAGATGCTTCAAAGATTTGGTCCTTTTGTGACCTGCGAGTCACCAACTTGGTCTGCAGTTTGGACTGGTAACATACAGCAGGTTATTTGACCCTTTGTAAATATAAAATATTGAGTAGTGCTTTTACTTTCATAATTAATGACCAATCTAATTTTAAACCCATTGGAGCACCCTGGTATGGTTACAGTGCATGGCACGACTGTAACATCCAGTTTAACTAGGGACCTTTTGTTGTCATACCCTTCTCTTTCCCCTTGTTTCCTGTCTCAGCTTCACTATCAACTCCAGTCCAATAAGGGGAAAAAATTATTTCATAATGTATTAAAATGGCTCACAATCACATGCTGCTGCACTGACAATCTATCATGAATAACATGTGTAATGCAGTTTTCATGCCGTATTAAAATTGACAGAAAATTAAATTTACCCTGGAATTATCATTTAACCTGCGTGTCTTTCACAGCGGATTGCCTTGTCTGACATGACCCGCTCTGAGATCAACGAGCTGCTGGGGAAGCTGGGCTTCTACAAGAAGGCTCAACCAGAGGACTTGGTGCCGGAGGAGTTCCGCTTCTCTCCTGCCAAAGACAGCCCGTTTAAAGATGAGCCGGCATACAAACCCGCCACTTCCTCTCTTGTAACAGACAACGCCTCCTCAGAGCCCAAAGAAGGAGTCAAGCATACCGACCTATAACCTGTCAAGAGTGGAGAAAAGTAGGAATCTCACAGTACCACTCTGCCCCATAGCTGCTCCACGACCAGCTGGTTATTGCAGTTGATGGTAAAAAATGCTCATCATTTCAGAATAAAGCCAGCAGATCATGGATCAGCCCTCGGGCAAGGACAAAATCTTAGCTTCAGCATAAGGCCCTCAGAAGGTCTAGTCTGAATTTGCACATGTTGTTCTTGCTGTGTGTTCTTTATTTTTGCATCAATAATAACCCAACAGTCCGCTTTCTACTCCCCAACACAAAAGACTGGAAGTGTGTATGTTTTATTTTGTTCTTGGTCCATCATGTGTCAGCTCTTTCTTCAGGATCCTCGCCTCACTTGAGTTCTCTTGTGTGTCTGATTGCTTCCTTCCTACTGTGAAACTGAATGAAGCCTCAGGCTGAAAACTGTCTGACAGGCCTGAGGTTGATGCTACATGTTCTAGTGGGTCGGACTGACGCACACAAGAGGATAGAAGTGGAAGCGTTGTAAAACAAATTAAAAATTAAATGTGAAAACAAATCTTATGCCTGGTCCTGTCTGTATTGAATATTCATGTTCTCATTACGGTTTCCATTTTCACTCCAAATTGTAGATTTTGGAGATCGCAGACTCTAAATTGCCTGTAGGTAGAGTATGAATATAATCATATTGGATAATCTGGTACAGGGAATAAAAATGTGTTTTATGAGACAATTCAAAGCAATAATCCCCCACAAACAAATTCATTTCTCAAATTGGTTTAATTTCCATTCACATTTAACTGTAGTGCACAGAAACATGAAATTATAATGTGTTTAAGCTCTTATGTACAGCACTCACTGCCTCGTGGAAGGTATTCGTTTTTCAGTTGGCAGCAGTGGAATAATTCTCAAGTCATTTCTCTAAATCTATAAAAACAGAGCTTTAAGAAATACATTTCATCAAAATCAGCTCTGATTGGATTTTAGACATCTCAAAAGGAACCTTAATTTTACAAGCTGGATAAAAATCTTCATTTAAAAATTTCCCTAGCTTAATGTTGTAAAATAAACAATAGGCAGTAATGTTCAGTCATTATTGCTTATAAACTTTAAACAGAAAGCCGGCTTTCATCATGCCTGTTAATTTGTCCAAAGAGTGACTGCGATTTGTTTCACAAAACATTGTGGTAGCTTGAGCTTATCGACTCACTTTGAACAAAACCGTTAAAAGCATATTGTACACACTAACAAAATACAAAATAATATATTTCAAAAAAATCTACTCAAGCATAAATAAGTAGCCCGCTAAAAGAGCTGTGTGTGAGTGTGTTTGGCAGGGCAAGGCAGTGATGCTGGGCGATGATGGCAGCACCGCTGTGAGGTTTTTTTTTGTACATATGCTGTCAGACAAACAGAGCAAAACTTGCTGGACTGCAGACATTTTTGCTGTTAGAATAATATTAATGATGATACAGTAACACAGGAGTGATACAATGTTCATAAAACCTGAAACATGTTCTCAGTAGCACTGTATAGTTCAGAAAGGTGAGATTACTCTGTTGGACTGAAGCAATAATAATGCTGCATCCATGTGAGCAATGAAAGGAGAACACTCCTGTGCTCATGTTGTAAATAGTAATATGCTAATTGCTTACATGAACATGAGAATAATAACTTAGTTAAAATACTTCAAGCCAACCACGTTTGGTAAAAATTAAAAAGTACCGAAATGAAACCAAATAACGCATCATATGGTTGGGTATGTTTTTGTTCTTCAGTTATAATTAACAGCAACAGCAATGCTAGCAAATAATAATTACAAATGTGTAGCAGAAAAAATGTAGGTATAAATAAATTAAAAGGGGAAATACTATAAAAATATTTCTCTCTTCTCTCTTGATGCGTTTTTCAGTACGATGGCGTAGTGACACAGCCACCGTGGTTAAATATCACCTGGTACAAAGCTGGCTTTGAGTACAAAACTTTAAAGCTTAAAAGGTAGTCTTTTAAAAAACTTTGGTGCTCTCTCGCTGGAGAAAGGTGGACTTAACACTGTGTTCAGAGGAGAACTGAAATATTGTATACACATCACCACTGCCAACATAGATAATACGCAATCTGATACACAAACACACGCACACACACACACAATCCCCAACTTATCCCTCACGGATGTGTAACTCTGTGACCTGCGCTATCAGTGTGAGGGCGGTCATCAGGTGAGGATGGAGCTGAGGAGTGGTCAGGGCTGGTGATGGGAGAAGGAGGTTGGGGTTGACGCCACGTTGAGGCTGACGCCACGTTGAGGCTGACGCCACGTTGAGGCTGAATGCTTAACTGAGCACAAGGTCACAGGGCCGACCCATGGACATCTCGTATCTGCGCAGGTGGTTGACCAGAGACTGTACGTAGGTGAAGACACATTTGGAGTCGGGTTTATTACCCATGATCATCATGTCCTCCACTTCCAGCAATGGCATGCAGTTGGCATAGGTCCTGAGGAAGAGGCATACGAGAGAGACAGTGTGTGTGAGAAAGACGAGGATGAACAGATGAAGTGGGATAGGACCAGGGATGCAGTAGAGAGGAGGATATTCTCTTCAGACTTCATATTTAGTCATCCACTAGGTGGTTTCTTGGGATCATTAACCAAACCGGTGGAACTGCAATAGTTAAAAAAGCTACACACATACACACACCTATCTGTCCTGACCAACTCTGGCCCTTCCTTGTTGTGGTTATGCTCTACTTTCTTTAGCCTTTTTTGTCTTAGTTTTCTTTAAACCACTGTGTGGAAAACCCTTTAAAAGCTCTCTATAAATAAACTTCTGTAATACAGTGTGTGCTTTTTTTAAATAAACAGTTTTAGGAACTGAGACCTCACGTGTGAGCTATGCAGCAAGTGACCACAGGGTGGCATTATCTGCACATACTACAAACCCTCTGACACAAACCAAGAGTAGAGTAACAGGAACAGACCAATCATAAATCTCCTGCATGAGAAAATAAATGTCTACAACATAAAGTCTGTTTTGTTATTTAAGGAACTGAAGACATGAGTCATTCAGCACTTTGCTGTTACAGTATCTTTGAAAGGCTTTACAAGCCAAGTACATAAACACCTGTAAACTCACACTTGATAAAAAGTCAGTGGACAACACAGCCTTTCCGTTCTCTGCTTTGTTTCTTAGGTCCTCAGTTTGAAACATTGTGATACCGCAGTTCCTTTTAAAGTGTTGAGCTGCAGATGGTCCTGGCTCTCTGCCTGGGCCATAGTCTGGCTATGCAGAAATGCACACATGGACACACACACACACGCACACACACATACCATGTTTGGTACTTTGGACCTCAGTAGCTTCAGATTAACATGAAGGATCAAATATCCAAAAGCAGCCAATAAAGGAGTTTTCTGAACCACTATTTTTGATATAAATCCTATCAGCTGCTTAAAACATGCATTTACACACACTCATACACACACCCTCCACAACATTAAGTCTGTCCGAACCAAAGTGAGGTTCTTTCGTAGGCTCACCCCCTCTCTCTCACCATGGGTTCAGATTTAGGTGGGGTGCGACTCTAGGAGGAGTTTTTGGTTTTAACCAGGCCCTTCGTCACCAGACCCCTGTAGAACTCCTGCAGGTACGTATACACACACTTCCAATCCGGCTCGCGCATCTTCACCATGTCGTCCACATCCAACAGCTGGGGACAGTCCACTAGTTTCCTGTGCCCACACCCGGCAGGGGGGGAGAGAGATGGGGGAGGACGAGGAAAAGGAAGAAAAGGCAGACCCAACAGAGAGAAATAAAGAGGACAAGGAGGACCAGGAGGAAGTACAGATAAGAAGAAGGAACAGGACAGATAGTGGGACACATTGTGGGAAAGAGTGGAAAAGAAGAGGAGAAAAAAACAGATAAAGCAGTGAGCAGCCAAATGAAAAAGATTGAGGGTGAAAAGACAGAGGGAGAGAGAAAGGACACAAAAAGAAACAATAACATTACATTCTCGTGTTCACAAATATATCCATGAGTTGACATGCTTCATGAACATCATGATACATACAGTATGTGGCAAACACACACACATACATACATAAGACAAAACAAAATGTCAAATGAGCGTCACGTGATGCTCATTTAGCCTTTTTGTTTGTTGTTGTTTTTTTCTGTGCACTAAGACAAGAGACTTTCGACCATTTCAATACGACTACATTTTGTCACAAATACGATGAAAAAAACAACAATGATTCTGCAAAAAAAAACAAAACAAAAAAACACACACACACAAAAGATACAACCATATGGTGACTCTAAAAACACACTCGTGCACAGGATGGTGTGTGAGTGTGTTTATGTTGTGATTCCAGATAACACCAAACTGCTGGGTCAGGAGTGCCCGAGGGAAGTGAGTGATAGTGCAACACAAAGGTGGAAAGACGGGGGGGGGCTGTGGTTGGGTTACACTCCGGTGTTGAGAGCAATAAATAATTGATATAAACATCCGCATGGACGTTATCCTACTGGTAGCATGTGAACACACATACACACACAGAGGTGGGTGGGGGGGCATCACAAGTGTGAATGGTGTGATGCAAGAGGGATGAGAGAGAGAGAAGCACAGGAGAGGAAAGAGATTAGGAGTCAAAAGGAGGGGGGATATCGGAGGCATAGCCGAAAGCTCGTCCATTCTTTTTAACCTGGTGGTTGTCTGGGGAGGGTTTGCTCATGGGTCTCTGGTTTAGAGCAGACGGAGGGTGTCACAGTGGTTACTCATGGTAGAGGACAGATGAGAGTGGAGGTTTAGAGGTGGAGTAATTAGGGTAGTGGCAGTAATGGGGCTCGCTCAGCCTTGAGGTAGTGCGATACACCTGGGAGAGACAGGGAAAGTTAACACCGGGACATCAGCCGAGGATCTTCCACATGTTTTCCGTCCGCCTCCGTACTTCAGGCTCAAGTGGATGTTGACAAAGAGCAATACTGAATAAATCTAGGAGTGGATTTTACAGAGGAACGAGAAAAGGTGATGTGAAAAGTTTGTATAATACAAATAAATGTGTTGGTTTGGGCCGGAAGCGGCACAGAAAAACTGGTTTGGATTGTTTGATTTTCATTGTGTATTCACTCGGTGACTGCCTCGGGTGGGAGATAACGTTTATTATCTTTAAGCTTAAGAGAGCTTAAATCTATGCCTGCAGTAGCTTCTTCTGCTGGGTTCTCTTCATATTCAAAAATAAAGGTTCCCTGCAGTTGATGTGGTTTCTCCAACAAAGTCGGTTGATGCTCTCACTTTCCTCCGTCAAAACTTAACAACAATAACATAACTTATGTGGTTAGTGGACATGTTACTGGGACAAAACTGTTTTTTTTTTTGTGCGTGTACTCACTCTGCAGTGCTGAAGGCCACCTCAAAGTTTTGCCTGCGGTTGCTGGGGCTCAGGGAGCTGTAGTCAAACGATTCAGGGAAAAAATTGTGCACCAGGGCACAAAATGCCATGCCATTACTCCAGCTGGATGAAAAATTCTGAATATCCACATGCTGAGGGAGAAGACAAAC